GACAATAACCACCAAAATTTTAATAACCATAGCTACCGTAATGTAAATGGGCTATCAAGGCAAATTAAAAGTAAACTGTTACATTTAAAATATGTAACTGCACCTCAAATGACCAAAACTGCTAATCAAAAGTTTTTAAATTTATTAATGTAGGCCTAGGCGACATGCATATTAAAATATATAAAATATGTAAATTAATTTGTCTTTTATTCATGGTGGGTGGGTAATTTTAACGCATGATTAAAGTCTTCCTCTTTTGACCTTAATTCTCCTGACATTTTTACAAAAATCTCCTGACATTTTACTTGTGGCCAATCACATGTATGATATCGGATTATAATTTCCTGAATTATGGCCCTTGATTGTACGAAAAATCGCGTTTTGAGCTTGCAGATTTTCTAGAGGTCACAATTTTTTTCCGATTTTAAAAACTGTTTAAATACATCACCATACCACCATAATGAAGGTTGAATTCGAATTTCGGGAAAATTCAAATGAAAGTGCCCAACAAAATGGCCGCTGTTTTTACTCAAATTGTGTAGAAGTGTGTAATACAAAGCTTGTGGAGCCTCTAGAGGTCACAATTTTTATCCGATTTTGATGAAACTTAAAGCGGAAATAGCAAATTTTTAAGTTATATTTTTAAAATTTATTAAAATAAAGCCTGAAAATAGATGGTATCCATAAACAGTCCTACCTTGTTAAAGAATAATCCTATTAATCCTATAATTCACTATTGCCAGCTGAGAAATTGGCAAAAATATCATTTTGCTCTTCATTTTCAAACGTTGAAAAAAGCTACTCCATGTTGGAGAATAGAAAACAAGGGAGGTAATTGTGTTATTATTTCCTGTGTAAATGAGTTGTAAGTGTGAGAATGACACCTATGATCGTATAATTGTGAGTTGACAACCTATTGAGCAAAAGACATAGAAATAATTACGTTTTGACTTTCTTAGAAAAATTGCAATTTCCGCTTTAAAACATATCTTTATAACCCAAAGATCTCAGTCCTTTTTGATATTTGCACATTTCAGGCCATAACACTGTAACATTGGTACCGTTTAATCTGGTGTAAATAGCGTTAATTTCTACTCTGTGTCCAATTATTCATAAATATTGTTGAATTTTGGCGAATATTGCTTAATTTGTACTTCTATCGAATTTCAATCTCACTGTTTAATTTTTACCAAGCATCTAATTAACTAGTGTTTAGTTTCTCGACACGTGTTGAATTATAAGCGTCCTGTCTAATTAGCACGACTGTTCAATAATTAGTTGGACCGTTCAATTTCCCGAGCCGTGATTAAAATCAGTCAAGGTGTCCAATTACGCAAGGTGTTAAATTTTGTTGTCAAACATCTAATTTCACGTGCGATGTTCAGATATTACGATGTGTTTAGTTGTTGGTCATCGTTCAGTTTTGCCGCCGAATGTCTATTTTGCCGCACAATGTTTTAATACTGTAATAAGTGTTACATAAAAGATCCCTTGGCAGTTGGAATTCGATATAAGAGTAGGCCGTAGTGCCGCTGTCCGGGCAAAATTTCCCTCATAGCACACTGTATGGCATATGCCCGTCTTCATTAGCCCAGGTTAGGAGCAGAACAGTAGGACGTTAAACTCCATTTCATTTCATTTCATTTCATTTTTGTAATAAGTGTTACTTTTAGAACTGACCTGTTGCGATACGGTGAAATATTATTTTTCAGGATTCATACGACGGCAGGCATCTGTAATGCCTGTCATTATCCGGGGATTATTTTTCAAGATCATTAGGGTGAAACTGATGTTGGATTTTTAATGCAACCGGACGGTTCCGAAGCAAAGCTTTCTTGAGATGCACATAGCGTTTCGTCCACAATCATAAAACGTGTATTTATATATCCATTTAAAACAGTATTTCCCACACTGACAACACATCCACGAATGATAAATCTCACGGATCTGATTTACGCGTATACACGTTGACTCCCTACCCTGATTAAACCCTTTTGTTTAAATGTCTTCGCAATTAAGACTAACAGCATGGGTATTGCACCAATCATATATTACATAATATGGGATCTATAGAAAGCATTTTGGGTTGAAGGGTAGTGCGATTATCTGGGGCAATAAACACAAGGCTTGTAGAATTAATACACATGTGTCAGAAGCTAACAAAATGTCTATTGTGTAAGACAAAACGTGAAAATAAACTAATAATTCTAACTCTTTATTTCTTTTTATTATTATAGAACGACGACCCTTTTTCGCTGCAGATCAAATAAAACCTACTTAATACATTTCATGCTTTTATGTAACGCATAACTTTGCCAAACTTTATTTCAGAGAAAGCCAATTTAAAAAGGAATTGTATCATATATTTAAGTTTAATTTTAATAAAGAATGGGGATATCATAAATAAGTTAATTCAATGTTTTTGTGGCATGCACTATTTTAGATGAGATCGAAAGAGCATTTTAGATTAGTGGTTACAGAATAACAAGTAAGGTGGAATTAAAAAGTAGAACGGAATTGGCGACGCCAATCATAAAATTTTACTGAGTCCGTGCTGCCATACTTTCTAGGCAGAAATAGCTCTTTGGAATTAATGTCTTCGTTAGAAATTTTGGCATTTACCTGTGACAATAATTTTAGCTTTGTGCAAAAATCATGAAGCATATAGTTTCAACTTGGAAGAAATGTTAGAAAATGGCTAACAATCAGCATTGTTGATTGTAAAACATTCTTGGTTCATTTTCTGCTTGAACGATTGCTGAATACCATGGACAGTTGGACACGTATATCAGTCCGATAATACCTTGCTGACTTTTTCATTTCGGCACCAAAGAGTCTGGTGGATTGTTTGCTGATTAGCGTTATGATTTTAGACAAAATGATAAGTTCACCAATGTTTTTGTAATAAAGTAGACCCGTATTGTTTGTTGATTGACTTTATCCCATGATTGGCGATGGTTAATATTAGGTCAAAAATAATTCCTTAAAGTGCGCCGGAGCCCCTTTTAGATAAACAAAGTGGCTACGTGCAGTTTTATTCTTTGATCTTTTATACACAGGACATTTCTGTTATTTAAACCAATCAGGGGCCAGAATTCAGGAAGTTACAATCCAATATGCGCGAATATCGAAAGGAACCAAGATCTTTAGGTATAAACATGCCCTTCAAGTTTCATCAAAATCAGACGGAAATTTTGACCTCTAGAGTGTCCACAACCTGAATATACCATATGTTTATACTATTTGTGTATGAGGGGCTGCCATTTTGTCTGTCAGTTTTGGTCCAATTTTCACTAAATTCGAACTCAACCAACTTTACGATGCAACGGTGATATATTGAAATGTTTTTTTAAATAGGATAATAATTGTGACCTCTAGAGGGACCACAAGCTAAAAACGTAGTTTTTCGTACAATCAGGGGCCATAATCCATGAAGCTATGGTCAGATACATGCCAATATCGAAAGGAACCAAGATCGATGGGAGATAGACCTATATTTCAAGTTTCGTCAAAATCAGATAAAAATTGTGACCTGTAGAGTGTCCACAAACAAATTGTGGATGGACAGAGAGACGGATGGACAGGAGCGACGAAAATGTTGGCCCAAGTTTAGATTTGTCGTTCATTCCATAAAGTTGTTAGGTTTTTAAAACGCTAAATACTGTGTAATTCAACATCTCGCCCAAGGGGTTTAACATATTTAGGTACCAATTAGTGAGAGAGAGAGAGAGAGAGAGAGAGAGAGAGAGAGAGAAATGGGGTTTAACGTCCACTCAACACAAACTAGGTCATTTCTGGACTAACATATGGTTTAATTTTATTTCAATAATTCGCTTGGCGTAGAGGTCTTTAGCAGTGGGAGGAATCCGGAGGACCTGGAGAAAACTCACGAAGTTAGACAGACGACCCTACTCGTTGTTACGTACAACCTTGGATTCAAAACCACGCCAGTTGACTCAATGACAGGCCTTATGATACAGCGCGCACATGCTAACCATTCAGCCAGGTGTTATTTATATTTAGGCACATAATCCTCTCCCAGGTGTTACCTCAACACCCTTGTCTATATACTATCCCTTTATTGTTATGACAAGTAACAATGTTGCAAACCAACCAAAGGCATCCTAGTTAGTAAAATTATCGACACTAGCACTTAATGTAAACGATCAGTTGTCTAACCTCTGTAAAACCCTGGTTAAGTGAGCTACCTACCCCGGTAACAAATTCGCAAACCCTGCCAAGAGGCCAACCCCGATAACCCCGACAATTAGTAACCATGGAAACCCCACCAGGGTTTCGGAATAGTATAAATAAAACCGATTGCCACGTGGGTCCAATCAGTCTGAAGAGTTTAATACGAACAAAACTAGTCACTGACCCCCGGGACAACCAGGTCTTCTTATCTCTTATATTATCTCACTCTCTGCTTATGATCTTGTTACTGCTAATTTTATTGATCAAATTGGTCAGTCCTGATTCCCAATTTTGCCTCGGAATCAACCACCCCTTTGACGGAAGATATTCTATCGGCTAAAAAATCATTATTCTCTCAGCTATGCGAGATATAGAATCAAATCGGTCTAGAGCCTATCTGGTTGAAAAGAAGCCGCTCATTCAACAAACACACACAACCAAAGGATGATAAGCGTACCCGTCCAGTTAACACAATGGACAATCTCACCTTTGTCCACGAAAGAGAGACAAATACTAGTCGCCTCCCACTTCTGTTTTGCAAGGCTTAGTCAAACCTTGATCCTCATATAAATAAATCATTTGGTACCAATTCGTACCTAAATATATTAAACCCCTCGGGCGCCATGTTGAAATATACAGTATTTAACGTTTTATAAACCTTACTACTTTATGGAATCAACAAAAAATCTAAACTTGGGCACTCCAACCATTTTTATTAGTGTTTTACAAAGTATTCTACACATGTATTGTATTTTATAACCAAGTTTAGCCTAGTAATGACATTCCGTATATTAGATGATAATTACCTGAGAGCAGATGATTAAACCACCCAGAAAACCAATCACACTAACAAATAATACAACAAACACCTTTTTACTTCTTAATGCAGGATATGTGTCTTGTACAGCTGTCATAACCGTCTCTAACAACGCAAACTAGATAAACAGAAAAACATTATTACATAATATAGATAAGTTTTGGGCTTTTGTCATTAACAATTGACATTTGATACACAAGTTCAAACCTCTGCTCTTGGGTAGTAATCTTCCATCATAACCTGTATTTTTCAGTGAATAAAGATAAATTGTCAGGCAACGAAACATACGCCCACAGCAGCTAAATCGTCCGGGCAGTCAACAAGAGTTGTCACATATTTTTACTTCTTTCGGTAATGAAACATTTATAATACACTAAAATCTGATTAAGAGTAACAACTCATTAAGTAATTATTAGAAAATCATTAGAATTTGTTTTGTTTTTTATAAAGTTCTGCCCCATGCTAACGTTTAGTATACAAAACATTTAATATCATGGATTTAGCTGTTCAAGTTATCAAATTTCATTAAAAATCAATATACTTGTTCGTCTCAGGACCTTAAACTCTGTGTATCAATCTAAAGTCGATCGGATGATAACTTTAGCCTCTAGAGCGTCACAAGATTTTTCAAAGTGATCAAGGGTCATAACTTTGGCAGTAATTATCGGAAATCGTTGAAAATCAATAAGATTCTTCGTCTCATGATCTCAAACACTGCGTATAAATTTAAACATACATTATGCAAGAGCTAAATCTGATTATTGCAAGTCTTTATTTAGGCTTCAGATGCCATAGAAATTATAAATTAGATCTTTATTTACACAAGCACAAAATCAACTCTGTAGACCCACGGATGGCTTGGATTCGGCTTGGATTTAAACAGGATTTCATTGATTGATTCAATTTTTAAATGGCGTCGTAAGCGGAGATTAACCGTTACGTTGACGTGATACTCCCGGAAATTTTAGATCAAGGCTAAATGATCGAGTGTACGAAGCGAGGCCGCTGTTGAGCGAGGTCGAATGTCTGTCAATTTGATGGAAAGTTCGATATATACGACCTTGATATTATGTTTAGTTGTGGTTAAAATGAGAGTTTGGATGTCAGTATTATACGCTCTTTTGTCACTTGGGTTTACAGAAAAATTATGGAAATTGATAAACATCGCAGCTAACATCACCCCAGTTGAATTGAAGCCCCATTGGATCACTGTTTCCTATTTGTCTGCTTCGGGAGTTACGTAGGCCTACCCCAGTTACTACAGTACAAGAGTACACGCAGGCTAACAAGAAGTCGGCTATAATTATGCCTCATTGATTTGGTCCATTCCTTTCAAACTTTCGCCTCTTATCTACATATTAAAAGTCTTATTTTTAATTTGTAGTAAAAATAAATGATACAATTGGAATTGCAACCCCATCTCAAACCAAATAGGCTAACGGTACCACAGCCATTGAAAACGTTACTTGATAATCGAGATTATGTAGGTGGAGTTAACGCCTGTCAATCAAACAATCGGCCATTCTCGGAGACGGTGAAGAGAAAGCTGACTCCTATTTCTAGTCAAAAATTACAATGGTGATAGCTTTGTTCAGAATATAGTAATTTGACTGAAATTTTCAATATATTCTTCTTTCATCATCTATTTTTGAACTGTTATAGCAAGAATGGCCAACTCTCTTTTAAAATCTCCCATAATGTATCTTTAAAGTCAATCAGTTATTAACTTTGACCTCTAGAGCGTCCACAAGGTTTTTTGAAGTGATCAAACTCTGGCAGAAATTATCGGAAATTGTTGAAAATCAATAGGCTTCTTTGTCTCACGACCTTAAACACTGTGTATAAATCTGAAGTCAATCGGATATTTACTTTAGCCTCTAGAGCGTCCACAAGATTTTTTGAAGTGATCAAGGGCCATAATTCTGGCAGTAATTATCCAAAATTGCTGAAAATCAATAGGCTTCTTCGTTTCATGACCTTAAACATTGTGTATAAATTCTATATGTCCCACGGCAATACCAACGACATGCTACAAATTGAGAAGTCGCTTAAATCCTTGACTCTTCAACGAAAAACCAAACACATCATCCTTGCTGAAGATTTCAACTGCCATGATATTGATTGGAAGAATCTTTGAGTGAACGCTGGAGCAGCAGATAGACATGTACAACAATCCCTGTTTGATCTTTCAATAGAATATGGCCTCACACAGATCCAAGATCAACCGACTAGAAACGTCAATATTCTAGACTTGGTGTTTACAGACAACCCCTCTCTTATTAAATCATCTTCCTCAGTTCCTGGTATCAGCAACCATGCAATGATTGTTACAGTCATTAATGTTCTACCTCATTATATTAAGCAAAAGCCAAGGAAGATTTATATTTACTTGAAGGCCAACTGGCACCTCATATACAAAGACACCGAAAAGCTCTCCCAGGACATCATCAACCTTAGAAACTCTGATGATACGAATGTAACCACCCTTTGGTCAATCTTCAAAGATTACCTCGAGGATCACTGATTCCCACATCCCCTCCAAATTCTGTAAGAACAGACAATCATTACCATGGTTCAACAGTAAACTACGTAAGATGTCAAAGAGGAAGTCCAGGTTATTTACACAAGCTGGAAAGGAAAAAAAAACAACCAATGGAAAGTCTACCATACATTCCAGAAAAGCTGCAAGCACGAGTTTAAGCTAGCAGAGATCAACCATATCAATAGTACCATCCAGCAAGGGCTTGACGACAATAACACCAAACCATTCTGGCAGTATATCAAATAAAAACAACCAAACAGTATTGGTATAGCACCCCTCAAGAAAATGGGCAACTTAGTTAATGGCAGCAAAGATAAAGCACAAATTCTAGTTAACCAGTTCAAATCTGCATCACCAATGTAACAGACACTACGCCTTTACCTGAATTACAGAAACCAGTCAGTCATAACTTCGATCCTCTCACTTAACACCACTATCAAAGGAGTCGAAAACCTACTGAAGAACATACTTGAGCAGAAAGCGACTGGACCAGACAAAATAGCTAACACTATTCTGAAGACCTGAAGTAGCCAACTTGCTCCTGGCCTCCGTGAGATATTCCAGCTATCAGTCAACACCAGTCAACTCCCACCAGACTGGATTAATGCCAACATTGCACCAGTCTTTAAGAAAGGGGACGTCCACCTACCTGAAAAATATCGACCTGTATCCTTGACCTGCGTGACTTGCAAACTATTAGAACACATCATTTGCCGTCACATCCTTACACATCTTGAAAGGAACAAGATATTGACCAGTCTTCAGCTCGGGATACTCCTGTGAGACACAACTACTAACCACTGTACATGATCTCCTCCAGAAACACAATGTCAAAAACCAAATCCATATGGTTATCCTAGAGTTCTCGGGCCCGGTAACTGTTGACTCAGGAGTACCCCAGGGAATAGTGCTCAGCCTGCTTCTCTTTCTGTGCCACATAAATGATCTCCCAGAAACCGTGAAATCACAAGTTCGATTCTTTGCAGATGACTGCCTGCTCTACCGCACCATCAAATCTCGACATGTTATATCATGAGTATTAACAGTAAATCTACCAACTTCTACACCTTAAACAACATCATACTTCAGCAAGTGAAAAAAAACCCCAAAAACGTACCTTGTAGTTACACTCTATGAAGACCTCAAGTGGGACACTCACATTACCAGGCTAATAAAGAAGGCTAACTCCTCAGTGGGATTTCTTAAGTGCAACCTCAAGTACTGCCCCCAATCTGGCAGAAGACCAGCCTACTTGGTGTTAGTTCGCTCCACCCTGGAGTACAGCTCAGTTGTCTGGGACTCATACTTATAAAAGGATATCAACAGACTTGAGAGAGTCCAACGCCAAGCTGCAAGGTTTGTCTCCGGTGACTACAAATCTAAAGAAGAAGGCTGCGTCACAAGGATCCTGAAGGACTTAGACCTACCATCACTTAAAGACAGACGGAAGATGATCCGTCTCACTTTTTTCTTCAAGTAGGTGGAAAAGGTGATTTTGAGATTATGATTATACATTTGATTATATTAGCTTTTCAAGTAGATCTCATCACTCTTCTCACAAAACTTTTTACAGATTCAAAATCGGATGAAAACATTTTTTTTTATTGAGGCTCAAAGTTACAATTTTTGACTTTTCGCGGAAGAAAGGTTTTTTAACACTTTGAAAAAGCCATTTTTGGTGTTTTTTTTGATGCCATATTTCTTTTCATATCAAACCTATCAAAAATAAAGATGTAAATTCATGAAATACATCTTTAAGGCTAATTATGTTTCAATTTTCACATTTTTGTAATAATTACAACGATTTCCACAGTAACTGCAAAATACATAGGTTTTCTCAAAAATTCCATTTTGTCAGGGCGATTTTGGTCAATTTTTTCATCAAAAATGGTCTTGTGCATGTTATATCTGAAATATTGAACCTGGTTGTTATGCAATTTATAAGCAGTAGCTATCAAGTATGATTAACAAAAAAAAAAAAAAGAGTAAAAATATATATATGCCTTTTCTCAAAAGCTGGATATATGTTCATTTTTGAACAATTTTCCGCGGCACACAATTGCCTATTTTTGGGGCGTTTTTGGGACATTAATAAAATAAGAAGAAATGGAGATACACAAGTGAAATTATGGGAATATGTCAAAAAGTTTGTGAATTTTTAAAATTACTTATTTCCAATCTGCCATATATTATCACAACTATGACAACCAAAATTGAAAAAAAATGCAATTTTTGACCATTTTCAATGCTATTTACCATAACCCAAAAGGTCATCACCACATTTTAAAGTAAGCATTTTAAAATATTTGAAACCCATGTAATATCAAATGATATGGATTGTGTAAGTTTGGGAAAAATATGAAGGAGTTTGGGCTGTTACCATAGCAACCACATTTATTTTTTTCCGAAAAGCATTATTTTCCAATAATCATGACATCAATATTGATAATTGACAGAAGCTATTGGACAAGATTTTAAAAAAATAAATAAAATCAGAATATTTATATGTCTTCTCCCAAGTGCTGGAAAGGAGTTCCCTTTTGAAGAACATTCTGCAGTAGCTAATTGTCCATTTT